CGCGCGATTCCCTCGGGCTCCGGCGCCGCTGCGGGCTCTGGCGCCGGCGCGCCGCCGCCGTCGCCGCCGCCGACGAGGGTGACCTGCGTCGTGCGCACGGAGACGATCTCCGCGTCGGCGTCGAGCTTGACCTTAAACCAGCTACCGCGCTTGCTGTCGATGACGCCGAAGCGGCCCGCGTGCCGCCCCTCCGTCACGCGGACGCGGTCCTCGCGCTGGAAGCACGCGTCCCCGTCGACCTCGCGGTCTTTCTTCTTGCCCATCAACTCCTCCGTCTCGAAGTACTCCTCGAGCGGGATCTCGTAGACCTTGTTGTACGCGTTGGCTATGGCATATTCCGGGTATATTGTTTTCTTAGATCTTGAGATCCCATACAGCATTAGCTTCAGCGACGCCATCTGTAGCCTTTGTTGAAAAACTCGCGCGACGACACGTGCTGGTGCAATCTGCCGCGGCGCCAGCGACTCGAACATGACGTCGTCCTGGGGCACGAGGCAGGGGTTAAAATACGCCAGAACTCTCCACCAGACGTCGTCCAAGGTGAAGATGTCATTTACATGATGCAAAGGGAGACAGTGCGGCTCTTCGGCCGTGATGTACCTCGGCTCCGAGCCGCGCGCCCCAATGAGCGTACTCGCCAGATGCAAAAGTTGCGCGACGCGAAAGTGACCATGGGTGAGAATTTCCTTGTCTATTCGTATCATAAGCATATTCCCCCAGCGCGGCACATAGCACCCCAAGGACATGTCATTGTGGCACCCGGCGACCTTTCTCTGTCTGTTTGCCTTCACCTGGTGGTCCGCGCCTGTGTCGAAATCAAACAGTGGTTTGGGGGTCCAGACCGAACTGCCGAAACCCTCGAGCGGCCGCCGATTCGAAACCCTCGAGCGGCCACCGTACGTCGCCGTCGACGGCGAAGCCGGAGTAGGCCTCGTCGGCCGTGCTCGTGATGATGCGCCCGACGAAGGCCTGGGACCCATCGGCCGTGCTCGTGGTCGTGACCCGCTCCGTGAAGGACTGGGACCGCTCGTTCTCGTACCAGGCGACCGCGTCGTCGTACTGGGACGCGGACAGCACGTCGTCGTCGCCGCCGCCGACGGCGATGGCGGAGTAGGCGCCGTCGGCCGTGCTCGTGGTGATGCGCTCCGTGAAGGACTGGGACCCATCGGCCGTGCTCGTGGTCGTGACCCGCTCCGTGAAGGGCTGGGACCCCTCGTTCTCGTACCAGGCGACCGCGTCGTCGTACTGGGACGCGGACAGCACGTCGTCGTCGCCGCCGCCGACGGCGATGGCGGAGTAGGCGCCGTCGGCCGTGCTCGTGGTGATGCGCTCCGTGAAGGACTGGGACCCATCGGCCGTGCTCGTGGTCGTGACCCGCTCCGTGAAGGGCTGGGACCCCTCGTTCTCGTACCAGGCGACCGCGTCGTCGTACTGGGACGCGGACAGCACGTCGTCGTCGCCGCCGCCGACGGCGATGGCGGAGAAGGGCTGGGACCCCTCGTTCTCGTACCAGGCGACCGCGTCGTCGTACTGGGACGCGGAGAGCACGTCGTCGTCGCCGCCGTCGACGGCGATGGCGGAGTAGGCGCCGTCGGTCGTGCTCGTGGTGATGCGCTCCGTGAAGGGCTGGGACCCATCGGCCGTGACCCGCTCCGTGAAGGGCTGGGACCCCTCGTTCTCGTACCAGGCGACCGCGTCGTCGTACTGGGACGCGGAGAGCACGTCGTCGTCGCCGCCGCCGACGGCGATGGCGGAGTAGGCCTCGTCGGTCGTGCTCGTGGTGGCACGCTCCGTGAAGGGCTGGGACCCCTCGTTCTCGTACCAGGCGACCGCGTCGTCGTACTGGGACGCGGAGAGCACGTCGTCGTCGCCGCCGCCGACGGCGATGGCGGAGATGGACCAGGCGGATCAGTCAAATCGACGTCGTTGCGAGCTCTCGCCACACGGTCGAAGGAAAGACTCGAAAGCGCTCGAATATACTCACATTGAAGTGGGGTTGAAGATTTGATTTCCACGCGGCGCCGACGGTATTTCCTGAGGCACTCACGGGGATCCTCAG